TTGTATATGTCTTTGGTTTCTTCTATTTTGTTGTCGATCTCGCTTTAAACATAACTTTGTTCAAATTTGTTGCTTGTCACCATTGTCTACATTTGTCAAAGAAGTTCATTATTTGACATGTTTATAATCAAACCATAGGATTTTGAATTATTTTCATACCTAACATAAACTGTTGAAGAAACTAGATTTTCCAATTGTTGTTTCTTTGTCAAATTTGTCTGGTTCTTCTGATAGTAACTCTGCCCAGCAGTCAATAACCTTTTGAATATGAACAGTGAACATTAAAAATGTTATTACATGAATTCATCATTATTATGTTTCTTTCATCAAGAACTTGAATTACGTACTCACATTACCTGCAATGGGCGAGTCATTCAATAGCAATAGTATGTCTTCCATTCCAATGTATCTCCCTATTTCTGAGTCATTTCGTACTTGTGCCCTACATGAGTTGATGTTCAATTATAAGTGTATATTAGTTATAGAGGTCTTAATTAAGTATAACTTGTATTTTGACTTACAATTCTCCTTCATTTGACATTATTAGTTGAAGTTTTTCAAAATCTTCTTTTTTAAGTAGTTTGCAAACTGGCAATGTCAAACTGAGTTGAAGGTCCTTTTTTCTTTTCTTGAAATCTCTATTAGTATGTTCTTGGATGTTATCCACATTCATGCTTTCTAGATCCTTTGCCATCTCTTCTTTTTCTTTTCTTTTTTCTATAAATGGTGGATCTTTTACAATCTTTGGTCTTCTTCGCTTTTCTTTGTGGAGTATTGGAAGTCTAGGTCTCTTTTTCTCTTTCTTTCCTTCTTTATTGCCTTCACCATGAATCTATTATTAGTTGATGGAATATCATTTTTGCTCTCTTCTGTTAATTGTTCTGTCATAGATTGGGAAACCATGTCATTCGGCTGATCTTGAACAGATTTTTTCTCATCAAATAGTTGTATGAATTTTTTTCCAAATTCATCCAAGATTACATCATGAGATTTTTTGTCATCATTTAGTCTTTTGACCAAGACTTTCAACTGTTTGATTTGCTTATTTTTGTCTGCAATTGAGATTTCCAAACTTTCCAATGCATTTTCCTGTACTGTCGATTCACTATTTTGTTGTGAATTGTCTTGTTTATGCTATTCACTGTCTTCTTTTATCTTTAAAATCTCATTCTTCAGTTTTTGATTTTCAACCCTAATGAAATCTATTTTTTCAATTGCTTTCTTCATATTTTCAATTGTTTTGAATGCTTCCTCTTTTTCCACTTTTAATATCATTATTTCAGCATTGAGTTGTTTAGTATCGTCTGTATTTGTTACAGACTTCTATTGTTCACTATCTGCATGTTGTGTATTTTCTATTCTTATTCCCTTTCTACTATTATCTTCTCAATCTGATCTTTCAATGTTTTATTTTCAACTCTCATGAAGATCAACTCTTCCATTACTTTTCTAGATTCCTTAATCAGCTGTTAATTCTTTTCATTACTTCCTCTTTTTCCTTTCGGCATATTAGCATTTTAGATTTTTGCTATTCAATGTGTTCTTCTTGTTTCAAAAATGTCAGCCTTCATTGATTCAATATGTTCCTTTGTTGTATCATATTCTTTTTTAAGTTATCTATTTTATTCTAATGTTGCATCTCTTTCCAATGTCAAGTTTGTGACTTCATCCATTTGCTCTGATGTTTTGGATTTCGTCTGTTCATTGTTTGCTTGTTCATTGTCTTGTTCACTGTCATCAACATGTTGAGCATGGTTTCTCCATTCATCCACCTATTCTGATTCTTCACTTCTTTCTATCAAAACTTGGTTTTTCCCTTTTTTCTTTCTGCTCTTTATCACAAATTGTTCACTGTCGTCTGCCTCTTCCTCTTCTTCATCTTTTGACTTTTCTTTCTCTTCTACTTTCTTTGTCTTCAGTATCTTGGACTTCATGTTCTTCATCTTCATCAAATTCTTTATCTTCAGTATCTTTTGATTGATGCATTTCATTTTCTTTAGATGTTTGGTCCAATTCTTTTTCTATTTTTTCTTCCTTTTGAACTTCTTTTGTCTCCTTTTCTACACTGGAGTAGAATTCATTTTATTTTTTTGTTCTTTTTAACTTGTTCACTTTCACATGTATGACAGTTGTAGAAAAATGTGTAAGAACAAATTTATGATTAGGAAGAGAGAACTATTTGTTTGACATAAAATGGGATTGTTTTACCTATTGAGAAGTTACCTAATCCAGTGCATTGTCGTTTATTGCAGCATTCAACTTTCCAAGGTTTCATTTCATGAACCTGGGAAATGCATGCCGGTTGCTTGGATTTATTATTGTTGTGTGTTCATACAAACAATACTGCACAAATACCAAATATAGTAATGAAAGTTTGGTGACAGTGAACAAATCATATTGTTATAAAGATGAACTATATTTTATAGTGAACAAAAAGTGAAACAACATTTATTAGAACACTTACCAGAAGTGCTATAACACAGCCTGTGATTCCTTATAGGTTTCGATCTTTCAGGCTCACTAAGTCCATCACTGTGTTGGCAATTGCTTTGGACCAGACATATGTTTTCATTTGTTCAGATCATCAACATGTTGGACACATCCCCAACCAAGAACATGACTTGCTGGAAAAAACATTGTGACAAATGCATACAAACACAAAATACTTACAAAGTCTTCAACATCATTTTTTGTTTTTCCTTTTTATACCTCTTCCAACATTTCTTTTATAACTGCACCTTTTAATCTCTTTTGATTCAGGACCTTCTTTTAACAAAATTAGAATCAATCTTCTTTGTCTTTGACACATCAATCTCTCTTTCACCATCTTGTATTCTAAAAATCAATGCAACATCATCACTAGTAACTCTTGGTTGTTTTGTCCCAATTAAGAAACCAGAGCCTTTTTTGTCATAAGTTTGGACAACAGAGACAATGTTGTCATCACTCTTTTTAGACATAGACTGCTCAATTTTTTCCTGTATGATTGGCTCAAATAGCAAACAATATTGAGTTTTCTTTAGTTCTTCGATGTGACTGGAAGTAATTTCCAATTTTTGAATTACCTTTATGAGAGCTTGCATGTTTGATCTGTATTGGGGTAGGTAAGTACTTCTTCTCCTTGTGGCAGGTGCACGTTGTTTTGTGGTGGCAACATTTTTATCTTTTTCGGCTCTACGTCATCTTAATTCATACAAGTTTGTTTTTTAAACCTGTTTCTTGCCCATTCCTGCATTTGTTAAAAATTTTGAATAAGACAGTGAACCATAAATGTCAGTAATAAAGTAAGACTTTTTGATTTTTTTGATCATATCCAGTCAATGAACGATATGCAAAAACTATTCACATGTGATTTTTTAACAAAATAGTGAACCTAAAATGTCATTCATGCCCCCAAGGGATTTTTCTTTTTTGATTATATCCAATCATATGCAAAAAACTATTCACTTGTGATTTTTTAACAAGATAGTGACCTAAAATGTCATTTGGGCACTAAGGGATTTGCTTTTTTTGACTCTATCCACACAATGAACCATATGCAAAAAATCTTCACACATGATTTTTAGATTTTTTGATTATATCCACACATTGAAGCATTTGGAAAAAAATCTGCACATGTGATTCTTAAACGAGACATCGAACGAACAAAATCATATCTATTATTAATTAGGAATAAAATAGAATTTAATGTACATATATATCAGTTATATTACAATGAAAAATGTTAAGGTTACAGTTTGCAATTGGTGCATTAATTTAGTGATTATTCAAGGGAATTTCGGTGAACAAATGGTAGAGGTTATTTTTGTGTCACTGTACTTTGAGAAAAATGAACTAATCTTTTTGTGTTTTATATGTTCATCAAAACAAGAGAAATTAATTTATCTTAAACCCTACGGAAGAAAATGACTCAAAGAAATTAGAACCCACTTACTTTGAAGTCTTATATTGTAGAATTTCACCGCCACAAAGAGATTTCTTTAGGATCAATGGAACAATAGTTGATGGAAGTTGTAGACCATTATGTTGGAAATCGAAAAGTTTTGCTTCAACGATTGTCGAAGAACAATTGTTTTGGTAATGATTCTCTATAAAACAGATTTTCTGTTGATTTGATGCTAGATTTATACTAGAAAATTTTGCAATAGAAAATTTTTTGAGTAAATTGTTTGAACACGAAGTGATTTTGTGGGAATGGATGTCTTTTTCTAGAAAAGTGATTTTTCAGACGATAACTGTTTATATAAATAAGGGTATTTTTATCAATTGTATTTTTTTAAAACCTTCCGTCTTAAAAGTGTCTAGGATAGACTTCATACCTCAAAATTATAGGAGGCCTGAGTTCCCTAAAAAGAATTTCCACCACCAAACACCCTACTCCCCACACGCCGCCACCACAATCACCGGCCATCCCCTTCCTCGATAACCCCCTCCAGCATCTGCAAAGCCTTCCCCCCCCCCCCCCCCCAACCTCCCAACTCCACTGTAGTCCTTTCACACACACACCGAAACCCCACCTTGCTAAACACCGGCCAAACAAAACAAAAAGAACACCAAACGCCATAGGGCTTTGCGTGCCACATTTGAAATATTAGAAGGTAAACTTGGTATGTTTGCCAATATCATGGGATGCCGTTGATTTTTATTGAAAAAAGCATTTGAATCATGTTGAATAGGCATATAACTTTGGTTATAAATCTAATTTATATCATATACAAGGATGGACTGGTCCAATTTCTGGAACAAACAGGGTGTAAACAAAACCGAATTAAACCAAAGAAAAAAAGAAAGAATCTGAAACACTTGAATGTTTTCTCGCTAATCACAAAATCTATAAGTGAACAGAAATTTAGTTTAAGAACAGTAACATCTACTTGAAAGCATTTGAAGCAGAATAGATGAAATCCAAGAAACCCTGTTCCCTTGAGGAGACCTTTTACCAGTTAATAGTTCAAAATCCAACAGCAATAAGAAGCCAATTACTGCTGCCTTCCCATTTATCAACTCATTCTTCCCGTGAAACCGAAACCCTCTAGTTCCTCATCAACCACCATTCTCACCTGAATACAAAAGAAGTAACAGATTGATATCAAAAAGCATATTGAAACTACACTGTATTACTATTGCAAACAACATTTTGAACCCTCAACTATGGGCCCTGATCTCACTTTGTCCCTTGAACTATTTTATTTCTCGCATTGCTCCTCAACCATTTGAATTGGTTTTACACATTATGCCAAAAATAAACATTCACTATCTTTTGGACATAAAGGTCCAAGTGTCAAGTCTAAGTGAACAAAAACACATTGTTTGGTGTCAAATTGAGATAACTTCCTGCAAAATTATCAGTGGAGCAAAGTTAAAACTAATGATCATAGTTAAAGGCAAGGACAGAACCAGGAACTCATCTTGAGGGGGGCCAAACTCTGTGCACATGATCTCAAGCCAATAATGTGAATTATATCAATACTTCATAGACTCACATTATCAGCAATTTTCTTTCCTATGTTTTACACTAGAAAAGTTTGTGCAAAAACCATTCTCCATCTTATTTCAAAGCTCAGTTTTGATAATATTTACAGGGACAAAAAGCACAATATGAGTTCAAATAAAAATACGGGTGCAAGTTTACATACCTAGACTGCAAGCGAAATTGTTGACATAAGCCTAACCAATTTATTAAAAATAATGGGCTTTTCTAACTTGCCAAGGAATCAAAATTGCAGATAAGCTAGTATTATTATGGTAAAAGAGAATATTGCATTGAGAATACCAGGGTTAGGTGTATGGAAGAACTAAAATAACTTATTGTAAAAATTGTCTGGGGCCAGTATCTTTGAGAAATGGAGCTGCTACTTCAACTGCCTTCAACTACTATAAATGGAGATATATAAAGGGATTTGAGAATTCTACTAGCATATTAGATTGCTGGCTTTTCTTAACCATTTTGATCATCCTGTGCAGGGGGGGGGGGGGGGGGGGGGGGGGGGGCACTTTCCTAGTTCCATCAATGGTTGAGGGTGCAATTTCAAGAACATGATAGTTGAGGGGGCAATGTGAAACAGTGATCATAGATGGGGGGGGTGGGGGGGGGGGGCAAAAGTGTAACTGACCCTTACTTATATTTCTTACATGCATTGCTAGTATCTTTAAGAAGTCTGAATAATTCATTTGACAAAGTATATAGTAGCTTTCATTACCTCATCCACATTGACATCAGTTGCCGTTATACCAGGTTGAGCCTTTCCACTAAATACAATCTCAGCAGAAGCGTCCGATTTCAAACCCGCTCCCATACTTATGTAAATATTTTCACCATCAGTTCTCACCGGATAAACAAATAAAGTCCTCAACGCAGGTGTTAGAACTCTCAGTACAGGATTCTTTGGATACCATTCCTTGATGGCTCCCGTACAAAGATCGAATGTGCTATCGGTTGTTGGACAAACAATACAACCATCCTGTAGAAATCTCATAAATCAGGTATTTTCACTTATGCTAATTGCAGTAGAATGTCATATGACAGCATATGTTTTAGATAACAAATGTACAGTACTGTTTTAGAATTTCCTAATTTTTCACACATTGTCAATTTAAAATTGCAACTTACTCCCTAAAATACATAATTTTAAGAGCAATCTACCACTACCTGCATGCCAGACAATGAATGTTACAACCCCTATGGGGGAGACTTGGGAACTTAAGAAACCATCACTGGTCACAAACTAATGAACCGGATAATCTCCTCACATGCTCCTCCTCAACATTAATGCCACGAGTGGATAACGAAGTACCTAACTTCATAGTTATCAAATCGCGTATCAAAAGCGTATCATTTTTCAAAAATAGTGTACTGTATCATCTCTTGTATCGTGTATCATAAGATAAGCTCAATTTTAAATAATGATTAATAAAATATATATATACCCTTGTAAAAAAATCATATACTCATAATAATATAGTATTTCATTAATATTCCACCAACTATTCAAGTTCCTAATATAGTTTAATGATATCAAAATGTAAAGACCTCTAATTCAAACTTCTAACATCAACTGCTTAACCAACCTTAATATTAATCAAGAACTTGAATTTAATTGAACAACATTAACAATAGACTTTTTTTTTTTTTTTTAAAACTATAACCACTGAAACGACGTTATTTTCTTGACTAGTGATTTAACAATAAGTTCTGGGGTGAAACGATGTCATTTCAATCCCAAAAAATTATAAAATAAAATCTGCACACATCAGCCATATCGTATCGTACATATCGTGTATCATATAATACGGTAAAAAAAACGATATAAAGACACCATACATATCGTTTTTCATGTGTATTGTTACATATAGGGGTGATCACCCTACCCTACGGGTAAGAAATATGATTTTCCGTTTTTTTATCCGATACTTTGTTAAAAAAAAATTTATTGTCTTACCCCTACCCGATCAAGTGTAGTATTTCTATCTGACTTCTGGACAAATTAATCGAATAGGAAGTCGGGTAAAATATCGGATGAATACTTTTATAATTGTTAATTTTTAGATCATTTTAACAATTCAATTAAATAACTTACACCAATTTAATTACACAATAAACCAATAACACTAAAACTTAAAACAATTACAATAAAACACAAGAACATATAAACATCAATCCATCATAATTATGGCACAAATACAATAACAATTATTTTAAATTTAAACTAAATGGTTAGGGAATTAGGATTTTTAGTTCATATATGTGTGTGTGTGTGTGCGCGCGCGCGTAGGTACGTAAGGTAGAAATATGAAAAATTAATGACTATTCCGCATTTCTACTCGATTTTTTTGGCTAGCCGTTCAATTGGATTGGATAGGGTAGAAAATTACGACTAATCGAAAATTTGAACACCCCTAATGACATCGTACAATACGTATCATATCGCGTATCGTACGATACTAATAACTATGTCTAGCTTTGTATTTAAATCATGTACGAGTTGTACTCAATCGTAAACTCAAATAAAAAAACATAGCCATTATTGTATTACTAGTTGGGCTTAAAAATTTTGTTGTTTGTTTGTTTACAAATTGTATTAGTAGTTGTGCTTATCAACATATACCACACAAATTACTCAACTACTCAAGGTTTGAATAGTCGAGAAAATAACTTTACCATGAGGAGAGAATCAACACAAGGATAATTATTCCAAGTAAAACTGATCAACATTTAATAATCAAAAATCTCCTTTCCCCCCCCCCCCCCAAAACAAAAAAAAATCTTACAAAAGAAAATTACCAATATAATAAGTGAGGTTGCAAGAGCACACAATTTGAGTCTATTGAGGATGAACGAATCACAAAATTGAAGTTTTAAATACAGTGAATTGTAACAATGCCTAATGTAAATGTAAATGAAGAAAACATGACTAGTATTAGCCATTCTCACGGGGAAAAGTATGGTACTTAACTAATATCAATAAATAAACCAAAATTTAAGATATTTGATGGTGCTCAAAAGCGACTAGACTAGAGTAAAGAATAACCCAGGATGCGGCCCAGGAAGTGTGTGATGTAGATCGTATTAGGGAAGAATTAAGGATGAGAAGGGAAGAAGAAAGGGATGAGAAAAGAAGAAGGAGATGAGAATAGAGAAAATTTTAAAAAGAAAATTCAATATCAATAATTAATAATCAAAGTCTACCCAAAACAAATAACATATCTCCTATATATATAGGGAGACCACAAATCCTAAAAGAACTCTAAAATAAATAAATAGTCATAATGATAACTAAACCCCTGAAAGGTATAATGACAAATAACTCCTAATCCTTACGCCTACGCCTACGCCTACAAAATATAATCCGATTCCTATCATTTCCCCCGGCTAAAAAGAACTCGCCTCCGAAGAGATACGATCATGATAATGCTCTAGAAGATCAGGGTCAAGCTAACGAAACTCCTCAGTAATCCATGAATCATCAGTCTCTGGACGATCTCTCCACCGAATAAGATAACGATGATATCCTCCATCTGAGGAGCCCACAATCTGATCATCAAGTACATCTACGATATGGTTATGCAGCTGTGGTAGAAACGGTGGAAGAATAAGAACTATAGTTGATGCTAATGACGAAGCAAATCCACCCGTAGGAACACCTACTGGAAAAATAGGAGGCTCAAAAGTACCATGATAAGGAAACAAGTCCTCCACATTGAAAATAGGACTAATACTCATATTCGAAGGTAAGTCGAGGTGATATAAATTAGGTCCAAGCTTACGAAGAATACGAAAAGGGCCAGTGGCTCGAGCATGTAACTTTTTAAAAGAATTTTTAGGGTAACGTTCAGGACACACACGAACCATGACATAATCTCCCACAATAAATTCTTTATTCCTACGATGAACATCTACAGCCAATTTATAATTCTCATTACTTAATATAATTTTCTGTCTTATGTCGGCATGCAAGTCATGAATATGCTGGGCAAAAGCTTCGGCTGAGTGTGAGGGGCAGGAATCAAGAGATAAAAGTAATAAATCAATGGGCTGTCTAGGGGAATGGCCATAAACAATCTCAAAATGGGATAGACCAATCGACCTGTTGACGGAGTTATTATAGGCAAATTCAGCAGTAGGCAACAACAAATCCCAATTTCCCATCTTCTCACCCACTAGACACCTAAACAAATCTCCTAAGCTACGATTGACTACCATCAGTTTGGGGATGAAAGGCAGAGGAAAACTTAAGACTAGTTCCAAAGTGTCTTCCAAAAATAACTCACAAACATGACATCCCTATCAAACACAATGGAAATAAGCAACCCATGTAGTCGGACGATCTCTCTAAAAAATAACTTTGCTACATGTGAAGCATCAGTAAACTTAGTACAAGGAATAAAATGGATCATCTTAGAAAACCTATCCACGACAACTAGAATGGAATCATGATTACGGGTTGTTTTAGGCAATCCTAAGACAAAGTCCATACTAAGATCTCTCCATGGTGTGTGTGGAACTAGTAATGGTGTGTACAACCCTGTGTTTTATTTCCTAACCTTTGCTAACTGACAAGTGTGACACTGTGACATTGTCCTAATAATGTCACGCCTCAAAGTGGGCCAATAAAACCTATCCTCAACAAGTGCAAATGTCTTATTCCTACCAAAATGGCCTGCCAAACCTCCCGCATGTAATTTCCAAACCAGGAAATCTCTAAGTGAAGTACGGAAAATACATAAGCGCGACCCTCTAAACAAGTAACCATCTCTAAGGAGAAAGTCAATGTACTCAAGACGGTTACCAGACTGAACCTCCTGAAAAATGATACCAAAGTAAGGACAAGAGGCATACTCATCTCTAATCCTGTCAAAGCTAATCACATGGATAGTCTGTAAAACAGTAACTACACGGCTAAGAGTATCCGCAGGCTTGTTTTCAATGCCCGCTCGGTGGTGAAGAACAAAAATATACTCCAGAAGGAACTCAACCCACCTAACGTGTCTAACACTCAATTTTCTCTAGGAATAAAGGTATTTTAATGCCTGATGATCAGAATATAACACAAACTCAAATAGCAATAGATAATACCTCCAATGGCGAAGAGCTTGTACCACAACGTAGAACTTTTTGTCATACGTAGAGTATCGTTGTTTAGCTTCATTGAGTTTTTCACTGAAGTAAGCAATAGGATGACTCTCTTGACTCAAAACTCCACCTATCCCCACACCAGATACATTACAGGCAACCTCAAACACCTAAGAAAAATCTGAGTGTCGAAGAACGGGTGCCTCTGTCATCCTGTGCTTAATTTCTTGAAAGGCTCTAGTTGCAGCAAGTGTCCATTGAAACTCCCCTTTTTTCATGCACTCTGTGATGGGAGCCATAATGGAACTAAACCCTTTAATAAATCATCTATAGAAGGTGGCCAAACCATGATAACTTCGAACCTCAAAAATTGTTCTTGGCACTGGCCAATCCCTAATAGCACGAATTTTCTCTGGGTCAGCTGCAATACCATGCGCAGAAATAACAAATCCAAGGAAAAATACTTGAGTTTGCATAAAGGAGCACTTCTTAAAGTTTGCACAGAATTTTTTCACATGCAATGTCTGCAAAATCTGTCGAAGATGATCCAAATGCTCTTCTTTAGAACCACAAATTTCTAAAGATCAAGATGTCATCAAAGTAAACAACCACAAATTTTCCTAGGAAAGGACGCAATATCTGAGTCATAACCCTCGTAAATGTGCTAGGTGCATTAGACAATCCAAAAGGCATGACCAACCACTCATAAAGTCCATCTTAGGTTTTAAATGCGATTTTCCATTCATCTCCTAGTCTAATTCGGATTTGATGGTAACCACTGCGCAAATCAATTTTGGAGAACCAAAGTGCACCGGCCAAAAGGACAAGCATATCTTCAAGTCTTAGTATAGGAAATCGATACTTGACTGTAATTTTGTTAATGGCACGGCTATCAACACATTCTCCAAGAGCCATCTTTCTTAGGGGTTAACAAAGCAGGGACAGCACATGAACTAAGACTATAACAAACAGACCCTTTTTGCAACAGTCCATCTACTTGTCTTTGGAGTTCAGCACGCTCAGTGGGATTCATACGATAATGGAGAAGATTAGGCAACTGAGATCCTAGAACTAAGTCAATAGCATGCTGAACATCTCTCATTGGTGGCAACTCATCGGGTAGTTCCTCAGGAATCACATCATGGAACTTTCTCAATAGACTATCAACCTCAGGCAAAAGATCATCTTTATATTCCAGAGGACTTTGAACAACTTCTTTGACAACTAGAGCTACCATTATACCAGACCCTTTTCTCTCTTTCTCAAATTCTCTATGGGTCAAGATGTGAAGGTCTTTCTTGTGAATTACCGGGGAAGATGACCTATGCTTTGAAGTATTACTTTCTGAGGGTTTCACAGGTTTTAACTTAATGGTTTTTCCCTTATGCTTAAAAACATAGGTATTTTCCTCCCATAATTTGTCACATCTAGATTAAAAAGCCACAGGCGACCCAACAAGAAATGAGTGACATCCATAGGTAAGACATCACACCATATATGATCTGAATAGTCACCCATCTGAATAGGGACCAAACATCTATGTGAGACTGGTAAGGAGGTCTTGTCAACCCATGCGACTTTGTAAGGTTGTAGGTGTGTCTCTGACTTAAGCTGTGCAACTGAGCTCCAGCTAATTTAGAGATAACATTCAATGAACTTCCCCCATCAATGACGACCTTGCAAACTTGACCTCCACATCAGACTAGAGTATGAAAAACGCTGGTGCGTTTCCATGCTGCTGTGTCTGAAGGGGTGGATAAGATACATCGCATCACACTGACAGGGGTGTCATCAGTTTGCCACTCTTCCTCACCCTCATCTAGTAACTCTAAGGGTTCTTCATCCAAAGGATCAACTTCTTGGTCAACATCCTCTCTGTCAAGTGAATTCTCTAATCCCTGGTCAATGATCAAGGTACACTGAGGGCACTATGAAGCAATATGACCCTTGCCATGACAACGGTGACACTCTATGGAAGAACTGTCTTGGTGAGAGCCTGTGAGTGTAGAATCTCGACCCCTAGCGGTATTACCTCTCAAGTTGGGATAATTATTACCCTTGGATATGACAGGGCCTGACTGGGTGACGCCTCGAGACCGATCAAATGGGACTGACCTTGATGGTTGAGATTCTCCGATTTGAGAAGGTATTCGATGCTGAAAGGGTGGCCTAAAGTATTGTTCATCTCTAAGGCTTTATAATATGTTTCCTCAACCGTTTTAGGAGAGTGTAAGTTAAGCTCTCTCTTAATCTCAGGTCGTAAGCTATTAATGAATTTTGTAACTGTTACCCAAAGCTCTTCCGTTATGTCATATCTCAGAAAGAGCTCTTCAAATTGAGCTAGGTAATCAGTCACACTCAAGGTCAATTGACGCAAGTTCATCCACTTGTCCAAGAGTTTGCACTTATAGTAACTAGGGAGATATTTATCTCGCAATCTTTGTTTCATCTCACAGCCCATAAAGTAATGGGTTGTCCCTCTAGGCACTCTTGGTCTCATTGGACTCCCTGCCAATTTCTCTTAGCCAAACCAACGAGTTTCATTTTGGCAAAACGAACCCGATGGTTGTCGGACATATCATACCAATCAAAATAGTCATCCATGTCATCCAACAAATCTAAGAAAGCAACAGGATCTAACCTACCATCAAAGCTAGGAGTGTCCAC